TTGTGCCGTAGCAGGGGGAGATATGTTGCTAACATGATTGCTTAAGCAAGCTGCAGTTTCTCCTGCAAGCCCAACATGGTGAGTGTGACACAACTATTTACAGTCTATGGTTTCAAAGTACAGTATACTGTATGTCTAAATGTTCTGCCAGTATTCAAACCTCAAGCAGGATCAACTGCTTTGTGCAAGCTGCAGTCCAGTTTATGTTCTCACTAAAGCCTGTGTATTGTCCTTGTATTAAGCAAAACCTGTCATCACCTATATTAACCCCATAAATCATCACAATCATTGCTCCTAGAAAAACATTACCAGTAACTTGTGAACCCACCAGTTTGCCCTACATAATCCTATATACTTTTTTTAGCTTGAGCAACCCAAGGAGTCTATTCAGGATTAAATGATGACACCTGATGGAAACAAGAACTAGGTCATCGTTATTTCCAGGTAAAGAGTAAGCTGTACCTTAAAAACTGGGCGTGCAGTACAGGATAAGTGTGAAAATTGCTGAAACACAAAGTTACATTTCTGCAGTGGATACAGAAGGGCAAGGTTAATGCATTCTGCATCAAGGGAGCTAGCACCACATAAAGAAAATAATTTGCCTCACGTCTCAGTCTGCGCTTCTTGTTAGTAAATTGTATCACCTTCTTCATAAAGTGGTCAGGTTCTTTAGGCGATGCAACTGGGTGTTTTTTCATTCTATTCCTGTGAGGATTCAGCTGTGCCATACACAAAAGGCATAAATTATTCAGCTACAGTAAACATGGAACAACATGTCTGAAGAGGATTTTCACAACAACACCTCGATGGCCATATACAGACTACAAAGGCGAGAGATGCAGCTGTGAAAACCACACTTTTGTTTAATTTCCCAGCGGAATACAAATAATAGCCGACATCTAAACCAGTGCACTTTGCTTATCCTCCAGCATGGTAACAGGAAGTTGATAAATTGAGATTTGAAAGTGAACATCCTTGTTAGCTTTCACACAATTACTAGTGCGTGTCTTTTCTGCGCGCACACAGCCATAATGACGTGCCTAATCATGCAATGAGTTGAAGCAAAATTAGATGATAATAGCAAGCCCCCCGTTAGCGCATTTTTCGTTATCTGAGTGCCTTCTTACATTTCGGAGCAAGATGGGAAGAAAGAAAAAGCACATTTTTACCTTATTTTCTCAATAATACTTTCAGACAACAAATTTCTCTCCGAAAATACCAAAAGTTGCCTTTCCATAAATATCAGTGTGACAAGGAAGTGAAATCAAAGGCAAACTACAGGAAGAAAGATGTATTAGTTAAATTAATATATTTAATTTGTGTTGTGAGGAACTTTTTCATTCTACATTCAATAACAACAACGATATATGTAAACCAGATGGGGGTACAAAGGAAACGAGACCAGCTGAGGAAAGCATAGATCTTGGAAAATCACATAGTTTTATAAATACACAAGACTAAAGAGACAAAGGTGAAACACATGAGGGCAGGGCAGGTAATCACACAACAGGAAGTAGACAAATGACAAAACAAAAGAGGAAATAAACCTTAACTATGACAGTGTTTTTTGGGAGAAACAGAATATAAACTGACTATTGGAGCAGGAATCTGGAGCCAAATATATGAAAATGTGTGGGTAGCAACAGGATAACAACCAGGAGCCAATCAGGGGCGACACAAGTATTTACCGGCTTGCGATAGTCGTTAGCAAAAGCCGAATTTGGGGACCTGATGGGTCAGTTGTTTGGGGATATAGAGGGTAGGGCTTAGAGGATTTAGGAAAGCAATATCGAAATAAAAACACCAGGATCACAGAAAGAGCTAAGCCACAAGAGTTTAAACCCAAGATTGTGAGTGTGAAACAGACAGTGACAGTTTACGTTTCAATGGAAGTGAACGGGAGCTAGAGCGAGATGGATACTTCTCTATTGGACTTCATTGAGTTTCTGCAGGGAAAAATTCTCAATGAAGAAATCAGAATTGTACAATAACAGATGTGATTGAGAACAGCTAATATCAGCTCTCCAGAAAGCCAAACAGAGGACAGGGGGGATTTATTTTTATTTTTTTTCATATGTAGCTGTAGTATGGTGTGGTGACTTGACACCCTTTGTGCCACCCTATTCCAGATAGCTTCCTGATTCTCATCTCAGGTTCAACGCCGAAACTAGCTTATCCAATATTTTCTATTGCAAGTACAACGGTTTGCAAGATACATTTTATACGAACAAGATTCTTACTAGAGTAATTGATGTGCATGTTATTTCTTTCATTACATGAATTAATTAATTAAAATGGAAAACAATAAAGAATAGTATTATTCATCAAGTCATGTGTACTATTGAGGTATTTCTATGTAAACTTCGAGAGAGGAGAATCGGTTAGCTAAAAACACACACCAGCAAAATAATAGTTCTTGCTCAACGGTCCTTATTTGAAATGAGGATTAAACACTGTATATCTAATGTCAAACTAATACAAACAGGATTTAAAAAGGGAATAGGAGGTAAAAGTCTCACGCTTTCACCCTCAGACACATGCATTTCAAACCCTGTGCTATACAAATAAACTTTCTTTGTCTTGGAGGAAACCTACAAAGACACAGAGGGAACATGCAAACTCCACTCAAAAAGGTCCCAGTATTGATCCAAGGACCTGCTGTACGTACTGAAAGGAGCTCTTACCGCTGCAGCCGAATTGTATGAAAACAGATATTGATCACAAATCAATAAACAAAGTCCAAGTTTAAACATGGATGTGAAATAATGAAAAGTGGCATAACATCTCAGTTAAAATACTACTTAGCGTCCAGATACAATATTTGGCACTCCATGAACACATTTGATAATGAGGCCCACAGGAAAAAAGTGGTTACAGCTCTTTGTGTTTGCCAATGAAAATATCCCACTTTTTGTTTTATGCACCAAAAAACAACTCCAAAATGTGCGGTAGCCTAGTTTCCATGCTGTGAACTGCCTCCTTCGGGCGTTTGAAAACCCCCTGACAGCATTCAAATCACACACCACAAACCCACTTTAGTTCCTGGAATTGTATTTCTTAAATGTACTGAAATACAAGGACACAATGCTGGACTTGATATTTTGCTTCTGTGTGTATGTACAGCGGCCCTTGGTGTGACTTTCGTGTAATCCTTTCCGCCTGGTAAAAGGCACAAGGAACACAGGCTTCTGACCTTGGACTGAGCAGGGCTGGCTTAGTTTCAGGGTGTCTTTTTGAAAGCTCTGGAGCATAATAGGGATGAAAGGTGGAGTGATAGCGCTCTCACAGAGACAAGAGTAAAAGCCAAGTGAAGAAAAGAAGTGTAAAAGCCTATTGAACAGCAGGGAATGGGATATGCATGTGATTTGTTGGATATGCAGCTACTGTATATGAAAAACGTTGTAGATGATCGTTCTTGTTCCTTTGTATCCTCTTCCAAAGCGCAACATGAACATTCCATATAATTTAACTTTCTGTTTAAAAGCAGGCATTCGTAGAGTTCGCAATTATGCTTATGGCTTTACATCAGTCAGGCATTGCTTTCCTTGATGAAAGCAATGAAAGCATTTTTTATTTTCTAAGATTGAGGAGTGCAAATAATACAAATACATTATTTTTTTTGTTGAATGCCCTAGTTTTAATTATAGGCCTTTAGTAAATGGTGTAGATTCAGTTTGACGATAAAAGTGTCTAAATCCAAGTGAGATGCCCCAATGAGGGAGATTTCAGTTCCAAGCTTGCTTCAAGTAGATATAGTTACTCAAAAAGTGATTCACCAAACAGTTGAGGAATCCATTAAAGGGATACGACATCAGCCTCACCCCAGAACAACACAGGTTGAAGAAAGAATTCTATCTAGTGAATTACTACAGTAGGTGGCCTGTTTGTATGGTCTAGGTTATGTTTGTATTTCTTTGAATATTTGTGTTCAAGTAGAAAAAAAAAAAAAATGATTTTGCTATGGTATCATGTTATTGTAAATGGACATACATAATTCACAATCTTAAAGTTGTATAAGTTGTCCTGCAAGACCCAAAGAGGAAGATGGAATATTGACAAAATGCAAGAAGATGGCAGGATTAAGCAGGGTTTGGAAGATTCAGGGGTAAGCTGCAAACTAGGTAGATATTAAAAGCAGCATGATCTGGTTTACTTAAATCGTTTTCAAAGCAGCCTTTTGCTGGATGTGGCCCTTATCACTCAGAAACATCAGAAACAGTCCATTTTGCCCCAAGAAGCCCTGCAGCATCTCAATCCCAAACTGCTTTGATGGAATCTCAACGTAACCAACAAACTCTGTGCCATGGCTCATCATTACCTGCAATCTCGGGTTTATAGAGACAAATTCACAGCTTTTTATCCATCTGCTCTCACACCTTCATTCATATTGGTGTGATTTCAACAAATGTTCCGCCACTGCATGTTTTACCGGCTTTGTTATAAGGACAAATTATCTTTCACTTGCTTCCCTGTTCCCACTGGGGGAAAAAACTCTCAAACCAAACAAGTATTTACACCACATCACTTTATGACCATCTGTTGAATGTTATCTTTATGTATTTACACTTTTGTTTTACAGCACGCCATGGCCGGCAGGGCCAACCCAGTCGTCAACCGAGGATTTATGGTTTAAAATGTGTGAAGGGGCATCTAGTTTGAGATATTGGAAATTATACTATTGGGAAAAACATTGTAAGATATTTTATCTCACCACAACTTGCTAAAGACGTGGGACATTTACATATTTTTTGGCAATGTAATAAAATTGTAATATTTCAACCACTTGCACAAAAAACGTGCCTAAAATGATCTAAATGTTTAGACACACCTACACTAAAGAAGTGATAATTCAGTATCATTCACAATATATCCACAGAAACTGGGGCTTTAATAAAAGAATAGAATATACATCGTCAATAATATGAACCTACAAATCACAATAATAAAGGCTATTACCTGGGCCTGGTTGCCACGTTCCAGGAGATATATTTTCTCCATTATTATTGGATGAGCCATCTGCTGATGAGACCCTGAGAGGAGTTGGGGTCAAAGTTCCCAGTGCCTCAAGGAGCACAACAAACACGATGTATGCTATTAATAAGGCAGCCAGGTTTATAAGCCATGATCTGGAAGACTTATAAAGATAACAAAGAAGAGCAGACATCCAAATGTCTATGGTGTGAGATTTAGTAAGTAAATTACAATGATAATTACAATAATAGGTAAATTATTGAGAAAAATCTAAATTTCTACGTGTGCAAGTGTTATAAGACAGCACGCTCTCATGCTGATTCCATTAACTCTCTAAACCTTGTTATTATTGATGTATTCAAACGCAAACAAGAGGCCGCAATGCCCAAAGCAGAAGATAAAACACATTGATTAGCAATGCAGCTCTGCAAACACAGATTAGAGGAGCTGAAAATCCACAAACGTTGCAATAAAATAAAATAAAGAACTCAAAGCATTCAAAAGGCAATAGTATTTCAGAAAACAGTAATAACAAAATTGTGATAATAATGTTTCAAAAACACACAAAAAGACTTTTAAACCAACAACTGTAATAAGTTGTAGATGGGTCTTACTCTGTGTGAAACGTGGGGGACTGTCGTTCACGTCTGTGAGTTTCACGGTGACAGTGGTGGTCCCTGAGAGACCCCCAAGGTGGCCGCCCATATCCTTGGCCTGCAGGATCACCAGGTACGTGTCCTGCCTCTCCCGGTCCATGTCCGGGACTGCAGTCCTCAGAATACCTAATGAACAGGAATTGTGTTAGAATAACAGACAAGAAAAAATGGCACCCAATGATATCATATATCTGTGAGAAGCTAAAGGAACAGTTGCTCCATATTTATGACTTTGTGATTACCACACAGCGTACCCCCTTAGATACACAATGCCTGGCCTGCGCAGCTCTTTGGAATAAAAACTGCCTGGGCACTGGGATTGGAGCCAGACCTCTTCGCAAAATAATACAAAGAACAAGAAAGGCTCAGATGAGGCCATGATAAAGACACCACCTCTTTGCACCTGTAAGGCTTTTCATTTTGAAAGGTTTAAACAGGCATAAAGGGCAGGTATACTCATTATAAACTAAAAATGTAATTATTTAACATAAGAAAGGTCTCAAAGTTTACTGCTTTATCAAAAACAAAAAGAATGTTGGGATGCTCTTGCCCTCATTCATGTTAATTGAGTTCTTTTCTGAGGTCTTATTGCTTTTCAAAGAGGGGTTACATACAGTGTTCAGTCTGTTTTGAAAGATAGGACTCTCTTATGACCCTTCTTGGCTCTGAAAACTATTTTCTCAAATGTATCGGACAATGTCAAAGGCAGCTGTCTGACTGTGCTGGACATGACGGCTGGGAATGACAGCTCTCTGACATTTGTGACTCACTCAGTCTGATGGTGACAGAACATAACTGTCGCAGCACAGACATACAGTACAGACACTCAATAACACGCTCTGATTTAAAATACTGTTAAATATTGATGTGTGTACCCTAAGTGATATAGTGGGTTAACTGGTTACCCTGGTTACCTTTCTTAATCATCAAGAATAATTAACAACTTTTGTGTGATGAGTTGGATCAGCGACTTGTCGACTGGTGGTAACAGATCAAATGCAGTCTTAAATGCCTCCATTTGTTTGAATCTTGTGTTATTGTCAAGAACACATTGTGTGTATTAGTAGTGTCCATCCATCCATCCGTTTTCTTCCGCCGGTCACGGCGGCAGCAGAGACAACAAGACCTCCCTATCAACACATACTTCTTCCAGCTCATCCGGGGGAATCCCAAGGCGTTCCCAAGTCAGCTGAGAGACAGTACCTCCAACGTGTCCTGGTCTTTCCCGGGTTCTCCTCCCATTGGGACACCTCCCATGGAGGTTTCCAGAGGGATTCCGGAACAGATGCCCAAGCCACCTCAACTGGCACCTCTCAATGAAGAGAAGCAGCAGCTTTACTCTGAGCTCCTCCCGTGTGTCTGAACTCCTCGCACTCTCTAAGACAGGGGTTGGCAACTCAAAAGATTCAAAGAAGCATATTTGACCATTTTTTTTCAAAAGATCTGTCTTTAGCCGCAAAATAATCACAGTCCTGTATAAGGCTTATATGAAGGCAACACAGGCTGTAAGCTGTTTTACCTCTTTTAGCCTACTATCAAAATGTCTTAGTACAGGCTCCATCCATCCATCCATCCATTTTCTTTCCCTTAATTCATTTCTGGGTCGAGGGGTTGGCAGTCAGAGATGCCACCCAAGTCTCATAGCACCAGCCCCTCACTGATCCTCTGCAGGTGGTGAGTCCACAGGAGAACGGCTGCTCTGTAAGTGTGAGCATAGCCTTGATCTTTCAGCGGGGGCTTTTTGGGCAAAGTGGGGTTAAGTGTCTTGCCCAAGGACAAAACGACAGCAGACATCAGTGGGAGTCGGTGGAGAAGGTGTCAAAGTGGGAACACCTTGACACGTTGAGCATTGGCCAATGCTCTACCAACTGAGCTACTGTCGCCCCCAGTACAGGCTCCAAATACATAATATTAATTCATGATTATCAAATGTGTATTTTCACTGCAGTCCCCGGGGATAATGACGCACCACGTGACTCCTCTGCTTTAAGTTTACCTTCCATTTTGTTGCATTCATGCAATTGTAGAAATACAGTAAATAAATCTGCTTTTTGGCTCAGAGTTCACATACCTGCACTGTCTGTTCATATTGATCACGTCACAGGCTGGAGTTCGCTGGAGCTGAATTAACATCCTTCAATGGCCCTTTCTTTCATGTCTTTGTTGAGGTTTTTGAAGTCTGAAAATAGGTGCTCGGATATTTTGATGAATGAATCTTTCAGCAAACAATGTTTTGCGCGGTTTTGTTCCTTGCGTTAAAACAAAACTTGTCATTACAAAGTAAACATGAAGCAGTCCTTCCTCATTGGCAATGATAGCAAATGTTTCAGTCCATTCTTCCTTGAATTCTAGGTTCTTATCGACTATCTCTTTTTAGCTTTGGGATCCATTAAGACTCATGTGGCACACGCCGGTTTGATTACAACAGCGGGCACTTGGCGCGGGGCCGCGTCACAGGATATGTTGAAATTGAATATTTTTTATGCACATTTTACAGCATTAAATAACGGTAAGAATGTTTTTCATCCAACAGAAACCACATTAAAACTAGAAATAAAATATAAACACTCCATTGTCAAACATTTTTGAAAAAAATTCCTGGAGCCACTCTAGGTGCACTGAGGAGCCGCATGCAGCTCCACAGCTGAGGGAACACCCAGCCACTCTGCGGAGGAAGCTCATTTCGGTGCGTACATCTCTGATCTCGTCCATTGCCCAAAGCTCATGACCTTAGGTGAGGGAGGGAACTAAGTTAGACCGGTGGGTCGAGAGCATTGCCTTTTGATTCAGCTCTCTTCACCACAACGCTCCATCCTTCCCTCACTCGTGAACAAGAACCCAAGATACTTCGCCTCCTCCACTTGAGGAAGGACCTCTCCATCCACCTGGGGAGAGCAAGGCACTTTTTTCCGGGCGAGCACCATGGCCTCAGATTTGGAGGTGCTGACCAGTGGGGGCAGGTCCCAGCTCAAAAGTGGCAAAAATGACGTGCGCTGACATGCTTGCAATACCACCCCGGGCCGATGGGGGTGGACCCAGAAAAAGAATTAGCCAATGCTAACATATAGCGTTGGCAGACCTCTCAAAAACATCTTTACAGGATGGACCAAAAGTTGGCTCTTGGCCCAAAGCTCCGTTCCACATGTGTGTCAATGCTGAGGGGAGTGAATTTTTTTGGTCCACTCTAGTTTACTTGCTGTGAATTTGTGAAGTCTCTCGTTCAAATGAATGGAGCTGCGCCGTCTGACACATGCGCAGATGCGTTTTTTCACCATTTTCTTGAGGGCGGGACCACTCGCGGTGGTTTTGGATTGCTCCAGTAGAGCACATTTTTTGGCCCATTAGTTAGAACGGCGGAGATAGGCGTGACTCTGTCCATTAATATATACAGTCTATGGTGCTGATCCTCATCCCAGTCGCTTCACAACCAGTAGTAAGTAGTCATATTTAATAGTAGCACTTTGTGTGCTCTAGTACCTCTGTCACTTATCCTGCCTACAAAACAGCGGGCTAATTGCACATACATGCTTTTGTGTACTTATAAAATCTGCTTGTTGAAACTGCAGTAAGAATATGATTTCAACACATTGAAGACCATCTGCATTTGATTTAGAAAATTAAACTATAACTATACTATTGATATTGATGCAAATGTGATCACATTCTGAAGATACATTTCCAGAAATAGTACTTATGTTCAGTCTCTGGGTCTTGTTTGCTTGGGGATTGAAAGTGGAAGCAAGACATAAAAAATGACTGCCTTTTTAATCTATAAAGTGATCTTATGCTGGAGGTAATGAGTCATTTTTTTAATCAATAAAATATACAGAAAGCATACCTCCATTAAAGGTTGGAAATGGGCTTATTCCATATTCTATAGGTGTCATATGAGAAAATGGGAGGAATAAATCAGAACGTGACATTTAAAGGCATTGCATGACTTCTTTCACCATGGATCACTTTCTCTTTTGCAAAGGACTTGGTCCCATGGTACAACACTCCAAATATAGAACAGTCCAGTGTGACTTGGTGATTGTCCACATTATTAAAAATGACATAAGATTAAGTAGATAATTAAAGGGACAGTATGTTGTGTGCGGTGTTGGATTCTCATATTTATGTTTTCTGCCGTTGAAATGATACGGAATTTATCACATATTAGCAGCTCATACATTCAAAGTGTGTGTGGACTGTAGACGCCTCAATAATAGTTAACACAATATTGAAAACCCAAAATTCTGCTTTTAGTTATTTTGTTAGTTACTTTTGACAACTTATTGTACTCTTTTTTTATCTGGTTGAATTTTTGTGAGGTGCAAAAAGAAAGATGACCAGCAATTTCACTTAAAAACTCGCAATGAGAGACTCAGACTCTTTGATTGGATAATAAGCTTGGAAATCATGTCCATTGTACTTTTAATCAAGAATAACTCCACTTTAAACTTTTGTTCAGAAAAGGTCAAATGATTTGTACATTTTGACCTATTATCTGGGGACACTTATGAAAGATGTTGATGTCATTTAAAATAAGAAACATTATAACGTTGCTTTAAGAATCAAGAACGAAAATGAATAAAATAAAAGCTTAATAACTGTTTTGAGATACCATGTCACCACTCCTGTTCATTTGAATATTATCAAAAAGGAAGACAGGAGCGATTGAAGCAGAAAACGTTGATCAATGCCACAGTTAAAGCTCAATGAGTGGAATAAGTTTGACATTTTCTACTTTGAATTTCATCCTAAGACAGCCATCTTCAGAACACGTCAGACGAATCAATTATCAAACATTAACATTCAACAGGCACAGCACGAGTAGCGCTTCTCTTAACCCTGGTGGGTGCATTCGAATCACTTTCGCCCACACAGAGAATAAAACAACTTTTTGCAGCTTCACCCAACCTCAGTCTTTGTGCAGCAGACATCTACAGATCAATCCACATATGATTGCCCTTTATGATTCTCCAATCATACAACATTTAAAAGAAGATTGACTTGTTTCACTCATTTCTGCTTGTTTGGTGTTGGTGGCCTTGGGTGGTAACATCCAGAACACAGGAATATGCAGTCCCTGTGTGCCTTCAGTAATCGGCTCAGTGTAATATAGGCCACAAAACTGCGCTGACATCTTTCTTTGAACACGTCTTTTGGCTTTCAACTTCCACCAGAAATAATAATATTAGACTGCTGTGTCTGTGTCTGTATTTTTTATTAGTTCCTGCTCTTTTCCACGCTGGCAGCATGAATACATTTGTGCCATCTCATAGTGGAATGAACAAGACCAGGGGAAACAAGTGGTGTCAACTTTGCAGAACGAAAGACTCTGCCTTTTATAATTAAACCACTCGCTTGCATGTTAATCCATATTGGGATTAACCATTTTAATGAAAACTCAACACGTTTAAACATCACAAGACTTTTACTCTGAAAAATTTAATTATCATGGACAAGCAGCTTCGGATTTACCAGCCCTGCCTCAACTGAAACCATTCAATGACAACAAAATAAGTGTCCCCAAACATTTACTATTATGAGATTTCTTTGTTTTGTTTTAGATATGGCATTTAATACATTAAAAACAGACAAAAGAATGCTGCAAATCTGTTACCGATCATCTAAGTGTCAACTAAATTGTGATTTAGATGCGATCTTGACCAGCCTGCAAAATATCAAGAATATCAGATCTAATACAATTTACCTCCAAATGAATTGAAAACCATTTGTGTGGCTCTAAATCATTCCACAGATAGACTTTTGGCTTCTGGAGCATCAACATCAACATCAAAATAGAATCTTTCTCACTCCAGTATTAAAGTTGCGTGTTGAACGAGGACATTTATTGTGAGGGTTAGGGAAAGTGCATGTTTGCGTAGTAGATTCATACAAAAGGTATATTTCTACTATTGTCACATTTAAATGGTTAGAGTAACAGTCGTTGACCTTTTTAAAGCCATGACTATAAAAATGTTTCTTCAATCTCTTCCAATGCTCCTAAGGCTGCAATGTGTCAATAGAATTCTTCTATTTATAAATGTGTGGAGAGAGATGCACTGACCCTGCCACTGTGGGACTAACGGATACTTCTTGCAGCTGGTGCGCCGTATGAGAGAATATTGTAGCCACTGATCGTTTAACAGTAGAGAAACCATTTAACGGTTAGGATCAGATTTTAATTTGTTTTTAGATGATAAATAATGCCCTGCAGCTCTTTTTTGAGGGTGGGTAAAAAACAAGGCTATTCCTCAGTGTTTATTTGTAAGTGATGGGCCTCTTCATCCACTACGCAGACCGGATTTATTGAAGCTTTCGTCATGTTTGTCCCCCTCCTACTCCATGTCTTGCACCCTTGACCATCGTCACATATCGGCTGGACAGATAACCCCATGAAGCGTCATATACTTCATTCTATCTCTATCATAGGCATGAAACTAAAATGGTGTAGGGCACCTTGGTTGATAATCATTTACTGTACAAGGAATGGCATCACATAAATACATTTTACGGCCAACAACCTAGAACTCGACATCTTGTGGATGTTTGAGTTTTACTGTATGTTTGGTCCTGAGATCTTGACCGTGTTTGCTCTCAATCAGCGTGTGCATATTTGCATGAGGACATCTGCTCACCGTCAAACCAGAGCCAGAAGTAATGGCTGCCATAACTCACATGCACACGCACACACACACACACACACACACACACACGCACACGCACACGCACACGTACACGCACACGCACACGCACACACACACGCACACGCACACACACACGCACACGCACACGCAGTTACCTGTTTGAGGATCCACCGAGAAGAACTGCTGCCCCTGCACCAGCGTGTACACCAGCTTGGCACTGTTCCCATAAGTCGGGTCATCAGCATCTGTCGCTGTCACCTGGATTATAGAGGTGCCTGTGGGGAGAAGGTTCAGCGTGAGACGAGACGGAAGGTGTAGATGACAGAGAGAGCCAACCGAGAATAAAACATGTCATATTGTATTTGAATCTGCCATTGACAGAGGGTCTCCAGCTACGTGCTCAGGAGCTACCAGTAGCTCACCACCGCCATTTAAGCAGTTTCCTAAAAGAATGATCTATTGAATATGTTTTTAAATCACAAACTATGACGAATGCTTATTTTTACATTGTTCACCAGCAATGGATAATAGACCATATCTAACAGATACAGCTAGTTCATTATTACTGTATGTTGTATCCATTTATTTCAACGCTTAAAGAAGCTCTTTACAGTACAGTAGCTGCCCACATGTATGTTACATAAATTTCACTTCATATTGAACTATAGAGAATATATATTATTACTTATTTATAAATAAAAGCGAACAGAGAGCATTTAAAGTCTATAGGAATAAGGAAAAATGCTTGTTGCATAAATGATGGACAGCACAATATATTTTGGGCACCAGTACTTATCACCATATCACCATTGTCCATATCAGAGAGATATTTTTTGTTATTTTCTACAATAAGAATTGAGCAGAAGGAAATTACACTGAAGCCAATGTTGTCTTATTAGGTTGTGTGCTCATTTTTGCTCCTTCCTTTTTTGATCATGTAGAGTTCCACTTTTATTGTGTAAATAATATACTCGAGATATACATGTTTGTCACAGTATTTATCTGTAACAAAGTATCATATGTTCATTGTGAAAGAAAAAGAATCAATCTCATCAAACTGTTTCTCAGAATATGAATTTGAAGGATGATAAATGAGAAAGCTTATGAGAACTGGCTTGTCCCCACTCCCTTTCCAATCTCCTGGTGACGCTGTGACAAATACTAGAATCAAGCCAGCTCTCTATTCCCACACTTCCACCTCTCCTCACTTCTCTTCATCTCTGTCTCCATTTCCCCTGCTTCTCCATTGGACCGTCTGTCTTTTCCAATACCCCCCACCAGTGCCCCTCAAAAGCCTTCAAATGCCAATACACCTAGTCAGGCTTCAATTTGACTGAAATATCGGCTGGAAAACAGAAACAGTAAACATGTTTCTTCATTGTGCATTCACATGTCGCTAAATTTAGTTCGAGTTAAAGGTTTCCACTAAAGGTTATGGGCGTTTGAGTCACATGAACAGGGTTGGGAGTGGCATTGGCTTGAATCAACAATAAGGGGGAATGTAATCATAATATTTCCTGTTTGTTGTTGATTTTGATTGATTAATGTCCATAAATATTCATCTCGAGAGGTACCACTGTTCCAGGGTCTAAACACAGCTGTTCATCCAGACACAAATGAGGGATTCACAATTCACTTTTCCACATTTTGTCACGTCACAAAAACATTTATTTTTGTGTGTGCAAGACCACCACAACGTTGTAGACAAACAAATCAAAGTGACAACTGCTGCATGAGTGATAAAATAAAAGCAAGTTTTTTGGATGTGTATCTACTGTCATCTGGAGATGTTTTTTGGTTTTTGATAGGATTTAGGTCTGGACTTTGACAGGGGCATTTGAATTTTTTTTTTTTTTTTACTATTTCTTGTACAATAACAACTGCTTTCCTTCCAAGATCATCCTGTATTTTGCTTCATCCACTTTTCCATCAACTTAATATTTGCCCCTTAGATGCCTATAGGTGAGCTGTGCATGTCTGCTGCTCCTCCAGTTACGATGGGCCTCTTCTGCCTCTGTGATCTGTGTAGTGTTTGAGTTTTGCGAATTATGGATTTAACTGTGCACTGTGTTCAAAATGTGGGAGATGTATAACCTTGAAAAGGAAGAAAACAACTCTTGCACACAGTACTTGCATTCACCAGAGGTTTATATTTACAGATGAGCAACGTTTCAGTGGTCCACACCCCACGGCCGAAACGTTGCTCATCTGTGAATAAGAAAGACTGGTATATGCAAGTGCTGTGTGCAAGAGTTGTTTTCTTCCTCTTCAGAATTGGATAATCTGTGTGCAGAGCCTGCTTTTACGCTTCTGTCACAGAGTCGGATGCAAAGTTTTCCGCTTTTCACAGGAGATCTATAACCTGACTTTACTTTAAAGGTCTAACTTCGTCCCTGAATTTTGGCACAGCTTGGTGGCTTGGTGGATAGCACTTTCGCTTCTCAGCAAGGAGGTCCTGGGTTCGAATCCTGGTCGGAACAGGGTCTTTCTGAGTGGAGTTTTCATGTTCTCCCTGTGTCTGCATAGGTTTCCTCTGGGTGCTCCGGTTTCCCCTACCTCTAAAAACATGTACAATAGTTCTGGCATGCGCCTCCTGTACTGGCGACCCCGCACCCATCTCTGTGTGAAGTGAGAGGACAAATGCCCAAAAATAACAATTGTAAAGCGCTTTGTGACTCTGGTCTTTGAAAGGCGCTCTATAAATATAGATTACTTACTACAGAATTTTCTGGTGGGTTTTGTGGAATTCATGAAGCTGTTAGCAGACCAATATTCTACTATCAAACCTCCAATGACATTTGACCAGTTATAGGAAACGTCTAAAGGCAAAGGCTTGCACACAGAGAAAAGGGCTCTGCTTTACAGAGAGGTTCCGTAGGTCTTTCCTTCCTACTGCTGTCAGACTGTATAATGAGAACTGTTGAGCCTGTAAATAAGTAATCTGTAAATAAGTAAATACTAAAATTGTGTTCAATGTGCCATACTGCAACTTCACTTTACTTATCTACTTATTATCCTGCCATTTGTAATGTATTTAACTCTGCACTACATCTATATACATCTATATATATAATATTTTTTTTTAAGCATTTACAGATAGTTAAGAAAAATAGCTACTCCTACTTATGTTGAATATTTTTTGTGCTCCCTGTGTGCTCTTAACTGTCCTGTATGTGCGCTGCAACATTGAAATTTCCCCACTCTGGGACGATTAAAGGATCTCTTATCTTATCTTTTGTACCACTTTGAGGTGGTCTTTCACAAATATATGCTAAAATTGTGATCTGACAATTTAATTATGCTGATAATGCTGATGTGATGCAGCGTGTTTTACAGTGAAAGCTCCCAAAGCAGTTACAACATACGTTTGATTGTTTAAACTACTACTATAACTATATTGAAAATTTTGACTTTTATTTTTATTCACACCATGTAAAAGTAATTTTCTGCCTCTCAATTTCATTTAAAGAAGGGGGGAACTGAAAACAGCACATGGCAGAGATTAGACAGATTGCAGTTCATTGAAAAAAAATAACAAAGACATGTTTTAATTACAGAATAAAAGATTTCCCCATGAAGTTCAATTAGAAGTGGCATTCAGAGAAAGAAATGTGATTGACGTTTACAAGCATGTGGAATGTGTAATTATGAGTTCTACTGTGTGCTGCATTGTAATTCTCCAGTCAGAGCTTGAAAGAACACATGTCACCAACGAGATTTAAACCATTTATGATAACGGCTAACTTGGAAGGATAACACAAAACAAGAATAAAGCCCATTTCTAATTCGTTTTGAACTTTAAGGTACAGTAAACGCTGCTGTCTTTCTGGACGCGCCTTCTGTTTCTGTATTTCTGTATTTTTGTCTGTTCCAAATTATGAACATCTGCTGGAAGAACATAAGAATTCCAGTTTATGTAATGTGTATGTGACTAACAATAAACTAAACTTAACTAACCATGAGTTTATTCAAATAGATAATAGAAAAACATATAGTTATTAGTATCATTATTTAAAAGCTAACGTGATATGTTTAAAGAAGATTGTTAAATGGTATCTGTATCTCTTTTATCTGTGCACACAATCAGATCACACACAGCGATATCTGACATCCTCAGTCTGTATGAGTATCTTATGTCAACATTTATCAAAAAATTGTGCTGACTTTAAACAGATTCAAAGAACATATGGAGCCCTAGATCACATTAGCTAGAAGCATGTTACTTTAACCTGTGCCAAAAAGCCTGCTCCAACGGAACATTATTTGTAGGGTACGCAGATTATCAAAATGCTAAATTGAGAAGGTGTCAATATGAGTTTTCTTTTGATGTCCTGCTTTCACTGCTTTGTCCTGGATGATCTCTGACTGACCAATCGAGTGAGACATGGGGGTGACATCACGGCTGATATAAATGAGGAGGTCGTTCACTGTCGGCTCTCGGTGTGTGGACTCTCTCTCTCTCTCTGATAACACCGCGTATGCTGAGGCCAAGAGTCTCTCTCTCTCCAGAGCCTTTGAGTAAGAGTGTGTGTGTGTGTGGTTTATTTTCAATTATCTCTGTATGTATCTTGTAACTGTGTAGTATCACTAAATGTCCTCTTTTATATCTATTTGGTTCATGCCTAATTTGTTAAGCAACATCTAGATTTTTGCTATAAATAATAATAATCAAATAATCATAATTGCATAGAGAAGAACCTTCTCTAATAAATGTCAATGTTTTGTTTGTGTGTGCAGGGGCTGTCTCTCATTTTAAGAACTTTTATCTGATCAAATGACATGAAAATTATTTTGCGCATGCAGCTCACTCACATGGATAGATATTAGCTTTCACTGCTGTCAGAAAACATCATAAGACTTCTGGCTGAAGCGACTTGTCTCTGAGGTTGATGCAACAAGTGCAAAGAGCTGGTAAATATGTTTATATGCAGCCCGCCAGACATATACAGCAGGCCCAATCCACAAAGATCAAATAGTCACGCAGGTAACGCACCCATCTGGAGCGCCTGTTCTGACTCGAAGATGCCTCTGCTCTAGGGACCGGAGAATAACAATTGTGCCGTAGTTTATACCTCTCAGCTTTCAATATTTATGCTCAAGGTTAAACTTTGAATGTGAGTCAGTCTCCCCAAGCGAGGAAACACATCTGGCGAGGTGTTTACACGCAGTCAGTAAAAACTAGCGCTGCTTCGAACAAGATGTGGGACTGGCAGGGCTCCAGCGCATCTCGCATCAGTGTGTCATTGCGGCAGATTAGCCCTCCCTCTGTCACCTC